GGCGCGCACCTGCGCGTCGCGGCCGCAGGGCCGGGAGGGTCTGCCCGCAAAGGCCGGAGCTCGCCGATGCTTCTCTACCTTTTCAGCGACCGCAGGGCCGGGACTGGCTTGGCCCAGACTCCATTTTGGAACTTCGCAGGCTAGGGGTGGGCGAGGTAAATGTTTATGGAAAAACCCGGGCTCAAGAGGTTTGCAGAAAGAGGGCGCAGTTCGTGGGTGGTTGGAAAGTCTGTGTGTACCTCGCGGGAAAAGCGGGCGGTTCCGCACCCATCGTACGCACACACTGGGGAGAAAGGTGTGAAGCCCGCCGCTAGGGCGTTGCCTCCGCTTGGGTGAAAAGGAAATGCGAAGCGTAGGAACACACTTCAGGTCACCACCCCGCAAGTGTTTGTCCTGGGGGGCTCCGAAAAAAGACAAAGTTCCTCCAAAGCTTCCAAATTGAGAAAAGCTGCGGAAGGAATGAGGCGGTTGGAGAGAGGGGACCGCAGGCATCCCCGCAGCTGAGGCTCAAGACTGAGAGCTAAAATGAAAGCGCCCCTATGGAACCCACCAGGGAAAACGTTTTAAAAACCCCTAAGCTCGAAGGCATTCTACTACTTCCATGCCGTTGGTCAAACTTACTTTGAAGCGCTTAAGTACTGCAAGATACTGAACACTCGGATCTGCGCGCCAGGCTCAATTTTTAATCCTTGCGAATCTAAAACTAGAAAGACAGGGAAGAAAAGGTCTGCTATTCCTGCATTGTTTTACCAAAGGAACGAAAAATTCTATCCACCTCGGCATAAGTGAAATAGATTTTTATCTTCCAGAAATGGTGTCTCGTAGCTTCTGCCTGGGTCCCCCATCGCTGTGAAACCTTTTGACGGATTTAAGCCTTCTGCTTCTCTTTGCCCACTTCCCTTCGTGGTTGAGGTTAGGATTGTCCTTTGGGAAGCCTCACCCCAAGCCATCTTCTGGACACACACTTCTGAGTTGTGCATCCTCTTAAAAGAGCTGTGCTCCTCAAACGCGGGGGCCTTAAGGAGCTAACGCAAGTCTCCTCTGGCAACTCGTCTGGGACGAAGGACGTTTTTCTGAGAGTTGCCCGGACAGATCTCAGATAAAAAAGAAGGCGCTTAAAATGCGTGTGTATCATTCCTTTTCTGTCACTCGGTCACCCTGTTTCCCAATGGCTAAAGTGCTTTCTGCATTTATACTCACACCAGACTCAATCTTTAGAAGAACTCGAAAAATGTATCATTGAACTTCAAATTCGATTGATCTTCCTGGCGACTGAAGGTGAACTCAATTTTTTGCTGAGAATGAAGATAATACATGTTTTGAGAAGCCACAATAGTATTTCCCTAAATTTTTGAAAGGATTGTTCTTCACCCATTCCAGATGGATTTTTTATTGTTTGCCAATGGATTGCAGATGCCCACTCCTTTAACCAAGTTGGTTAACTGCTTATGAAATGTACATTAGCTGATTAAAGCTTAGGTATTGGAAGAAATTTCTTCGGGAACATTCCACATGTCTTTGTAGTAATTACGAAATTAGTCAATTGTCACCTCTATAAACAAACTTCGATTTGAAAACAGCAGGCGAAAGCAGATTATACATACAGTCATAATTGACCAGAAGTATGTACACAACTATTTAGAATTGGGCAAAGGGTGATATATGCTGGAGAATGTAATCCAGTACTGAGGATTTTACCCTTTGAAGAAGATAGTTGTGTTAAACGTATTAAGATGTGGAAATTTAACCCGGGAGTGCACCAACTAAAACTACAAAATGCCCTTTGGGCTTCTCTTCAGAATCTTTGAAAAGCCCCGAACCAGTTGTTGAGTTTCTAGCAGTAAGTGGAAAAGTAGCTCTGAGAAGGAAGGGGGTGGGCGTTGTCTTTGTGTGCGAGCTTTGAATGGAGTCACCTTTAGGCTCACTCGCTGTAACAAGGAAACGTCCTGCAAACCTGTGCCTTTAAGACTCAGTTGCTATCCAAACACAAGTAAACAGAGTGGACCATTAGCGGGCGCCGGGCGCAGAGGCGGAGCCAGGGAGCATTGGGCCCTGCTTGGCGCGGCGCGGGACGCCCGCCCGGAGGGGAGGCGGGGCAGCTACTAAAGCTCCGGGCTCGCGGGCCCAGGCAGCCTGGGGAGGGACGCGGGCGGGGACGGAGCTCTGCTCGCTCTCTCGCTCGCGCGACCGCTGCTGGAGGGTGATGGCCCTGCGAGGCTGCGGGCTCCGACTTCACCCGAAGTCCGCGGCAAGAGGCTCGCTTAGGCGCCGGGTCCTGGGCGAGCGCTAAGCGCCGGCGCCGAGCACTCCGGCTCCTTACACTTTCCGCACCCGGAGACAGGACAGACGAAATCGAGGACCCGTTCTCGCTTTCGCTCTTCACGGTCCTCCAGATCATGTCCGCGGCTCCCGGGACTCCGAGCCGAAGAAGTTTGCCTAGCGGGGATCCGATGACCTCTCCAAGCTGTTCGCCCAGCTGCCTGGACCTAGTCTGAACTGCGCTGCCCAGGCAGACCTTTCTGCCGGAGGTGAGTGTCCGCTCAGCGAAGGGGCTGCAGCCGCCCCAAGGAGGGAAGGGTTTGGGGGTGCAGGAGGCGCTCACTTTCACGGTCTGGAGCGCCACAAGTTTAGACGCTATGAAAGGAGCTCACACAGATGCAATCCGCGGGCCTTGTGTTTCTCACTTCCTTGGATCCCTGGCACGCGACTCCCAGCTAACACCCAACTACGCACACGCACTTTTCTGTTTTGTTTCTTAGCTCTGTTTGGGGGCAGCAGATCTAAGCATTCAACAAGACTTCTCCTGCAAGCTAATCGACCTACGTTGAAATCGAACCACACAAACTCAGGAGGTCTCTGCCCCTGTCCTAGAAAGCCAGGCTCGACCTGTCCTGGGGCAGCTGCGGCAGCGCAGAAGGGCCAGAGTCACAGTGCCCGTCCCTCCCGCGCCGGGGAAGGCGCGTTTCAGGATGGGAATAGTTAGGTCCTAAGTGATTCTCCAAACTTGTTCGACCTTTTGATTTTTCTCCCACCTTCCAATCCTGGTGGACAGCAAAGAAAGTAAAAAAAAAAAAAAAAAAAAAAACGGGGCTTTGGCGCTTGGATTCCGCAGAAATGACCGAGAAAGGAGTTGCCGTGGTAGGAAGGAGGGAGGAAAGGTGTTTGTGGAGGGAGCTGAGATCTGTCTCCCTACCTGTTAGAGAACAAAAGAGGGCTGGCGTTTCCCGGAGCTAAACGGCACAGACAACTACTTTCTCTGCTAAACCAACTGCAGTCAGGAGCAGAACAAGAAAATTACTTACACAGGGGGAGCGAGGGAGCGGAGAGAAACAACCCAGATTATGCGGAAGGCATCTTAATTTAATTAACTCCTTGGGAAGGCAGAGGCGCTGCGAAGGGGCAGGAACTTTCTGGCAGTTTTTCTCTATTCACCTGATCCAGTCTGCTTTTTTTTTTTTTTTTTTTTTTTAAATGATCTTAGATCTCCTTTAGACTTGAGCTTTCTGATTTATATATAATTCTATTGTGGTTTGGCTTGAAATGCAGTGAGCCTATCCAATCCGATCCTCGGTTCTCACAGATAGCAATGCACAACTTTTAGCAGCTGATCCTTGACTATATGGTTTGTAGCTATTTCAGTGTAATAACACTGTTGCCAAAGATCGAGACTTCTTATCAAATTACCTTCTCTTCAACAATGTTTTGAAAGCCTCACCAAACTGAAATTAGTATGTACAGATCTCCCTTGTTGATAGTGAACTATTTTTTGCAAAACTCGTCTACATGTGCCTGGAAATTCCCATGAAGAAGACGGGTGGAATAAAAATAGCCTTAATTCGACTACATTACTTATTTATGTCTTTTCATGGTTTAATTTTTCACTCTTTGCAAAATTAAAAGTAGCCAATAGTCTGAAACAGGATGGTAGAGAAATGACACCGGACAATTACTGTTGTTATGCATGGCTCAGTTCTAATCAAAACGAAAGTACTTCAGATCTCTGCATTGACTTTAAACACACTTTGACATACATTCCCAGCAATTCAAAAGGAGTGTGCATATCCTAACTTCCTAATTGTTTATGGCAATAATGTCTGGTGGATCTTAGGGTTGTTCTGCTTGAACAGGGATTTCAGAAGGCTCCACTGCCTTGCTCTCCCAGCGAAGAAACTAACTGCAAATGAGAACCAACATATACCATGAAATAACATAACGCTGAATTATAATAATCACTAATTTCTGCACCATAAACTTCAGAAAAGGGGGGTAATGACACTCAACTTTCTGGCAGTAGAATTAATGTTGTAACCTTTATGGCAAAGTTCACTTTGTACATTTCGAATCCAAATCTCAGATCCTGATAGTCCTTCAGTCAACAACACCCCCTTTGCTCCCTCACTCCTGCGCCATGGTAGGAGTTGTGCTTTGCTTCCTGTATTTATTTCTAAGAAATCTAGTCTGGGAATACACCCAAATAATAATTTTGGTTTCCTCTCTATGGGGAGAGGCTACTTTTCAACACCAGGGGGAAAATATTTTGAACCTCTGGAAAATCCTCATTACCCAAGGAGAAGGAAATAAAGGTGACATTTATATTTTTAATTGAACGGGAAATAACCAGATATATTATCAGGGATGCTAGTAGGATCCTTTTTCTACCCCCTGACTCCCTAGGAGAGGGCTTGAGGGTTGCCACTGAACAAGAGTGCATAGTGATTTGTGGTGGGAAAGTTTATTACTAATGGGAGTTTGAAGTTCCGGTCAATTGGTCTGACTGAGACCCTCTGACTGTCACACACCTCTCATTAACTCCCAGCCTGAACTCCCAGACCGCATACCAG